TGGGTATAGTGTTTCCACATACTACACGTGAAAAAAAATAAGATTGCTATTGTATATTCGAATATTAGTGGCGGAGTGGAATCTCTGTATTGTCAGATTCCAAAAAGCCAGATTTGCGCATGCGCTTTACAGAGCACCAACCTCACCTGGTTTAGCCGGAGGAAGCCTAGGACCTTGGGTTGGTGCTACACATATAACGCTTCCAATTCTATCCGGGACTGGTTCTGGGCTGTTAGCCGCCCGCCTGCTAGATATTTGGCCGATTACGTGAATAACTAGTAGATTTATAACTTAACCCAACCGATAAGAATTTACTGGTATGTTTTTACAATAGTTCTGTATAGTTGACAGGAGTTTAAAAAAATCCATTAAAATATTTGATATTTTTATTCCACTCTCTGATTTTATAATACTCACGGATTTCAATGTTAAATCAGTGATATTACAATTTCGTATATCCCATCTTTAAGGGGATGTAGAAAAAAACATGTACAATTCTTGTATAATGTTAAAAAATTAACTGTTACTTCGACAGCGTCATTTACAACTAAATTTAATGAATGAGAGAGATGCACCAGTTACAGAAAAAGCTCTAGAATTTATTTTCCTTAAATTTACGATTTATGTATCCGTTTGGCATAAAAATTTGTCTTTCCACTTTTTTCTCGAGACTACAAATATTCGAGTACAAAGTAACTGGTTTCGACTTATTTCTACTTAAGAAGTAGTTAAATAATTAAGCGATTAGGGAATTGAGCACATAAACAAAACCCTGATGAAAGAGCCGGAATATTACTTAAACAAAAGCTTAAACGAACCAATTTATAGCCGAGCACAGTAGGACTGATTTCTTCGAAATATTAGACATAATAAAGACAGAAATTTTTCCAGTTCAACGAGAGTGACCAAAAAGTTGTAAATTTTGGAAATTTCCTTGGACAACACCTGGTCCTAAAACGAATTAGTTAGAAAACAAATGACTATTAAGTTTAACATATTTAGATTTTTACAGCTATGGTGAGAAACGTTTAAAATCTACAACAGCCCTGTCACATCCTTTGTAATATACTAATGATGTGACAAAAGAGGTATTTGACATTGACCGGTATCGGTACCCTGGGGATTTGGCAGTCCGCGTGTATGCACGCTCTGCAACCATCTTCGATTCCATCCATTAGCCACTCGTAGGGAGCTATTTGACTAAGTGCATTGTTTTAAGATTTAAAAAGTAAAGAATATTTTATATTTTTATGTACGTTTCTTTGCAAAGCTATATTTAATTATAATTTTCTTTAAAAGTATATTCATATAATTGAAGAATATTTTGTATGTACCAGTACATCCACCACATATTTTATTTCACCAAGTAAGTTTTTATTATTTTATTTTTAATTGTAGCCCTTATATCATGGCTAGCAATTCGGAATGTAATTGTGATATTAAAAATGCATTTAGAGAAGTCTACAGATTTTACTGGCTTATCGAATAAACGATACGAATGGGCCCTAGTCACTGATGCACAACTGACTGATTGCCCCTGGATGTCGGCTTCTTACAGAAACACAGCTTCCCTATCATCAAATGTCACGGCATGCCCCTGGAAATTAAGATTTTTTTTCTGTTAATGGGATGCCAGTTGAACTTTAATTCAATGCACAATACCATAATTCACATTGCTCTGCTAAGACTATTGCATTTAACTATTTATCCCAAGCAACATTGCCAGCTTTGAATAGCTCACTTGATTGTTCATGGAGTACTTGATGTATATAGTTTAAGGGGGTATGGGGACTCACCCCCACCCAGGCACTGAGGTGTGAGCCATAGCAAGCACCAAAGTGCATGACTACATGTGAAGCATGTAGAATAGACAGTGTACTGATACATGTTAAAAACTGATCTTTGGAGGCAAATATCTTGCAGAGGGTGAACAATTCTGGGATGGTGCAAAACTCTTCATTTAGAGCTTGAATTTTACCCATTGCTGTATATATCAGTTGGTATCCTGTTAACAGAAAAGTATCAAAATTAATTCAAAATATATCTACATATGTATATAGACCTATAGAAAACTTGTTTCATTGAAGCTGCAATAGAACTTTGATTATCCAAACTAATTCATTTTGTTGGTGATCCAAATAATCCAAAATCCATATAAGTGGATTAATGTGCAAAAAATGAAATTATAGGAAACACAATATTGTACATATACTATATTTACTTATGTGCAATGTGCAAGTAATATAATACTAATTACTTGGATCAGTCATAGCAGATAGGTGTCACTGATCATGAAGTTGCATGACGTAAGAGAATTGTAGTGTGATGTCAGTGAAAGAGAGAAAGGAGACAAATGGTGGTTTGGATAATCAGAGTTCTACCAAATCATCATATTTAAAATATCTAAAGTTGACCTAGGAAATTTGAAAATGTTCCTGTATTAAAATATAATTTATTTTGTTTCTATATTTAATTCTGTTTTGTGTTAATTTAAAAATGTTTTTTCATCTTTCTATAAGAATAGTTTTGCATTCATCAATATAGATGAAAATATACTTTTTTATTGTTAAAGCTTGAAAATTTGACCAAATAATTTTGGAACCAAAGCACTATTATTAATTTTTCTGTAAGTGCTAAATAATATATGCAAGGATAGTAATGACTATTGTTGAGAATATAGCTACATTAGTACATTAGTAATTCCCTGTTCAGCGAACAGAGAAGAACTAAATTGTATTAAAATTGTCCCTTCCATTCTATTCTAGAATGGCTGGCATTAAATATGTGTACTTTTTCTTAGTACTTTAATATTTACATGATTTCAAAAAAATAGTTTAATTACAATTTTTAACAGTGTCTATTAAAAATGAAAATAGATGACAAAATGAATACTTGATCATCTGGTTCATTTTGGAAATGATTGCACTTTCAAAGGTGAAAGTAACAGATTAGTTTTATATCTCAATCTCATATAATATAAAACTGTTATTTTCACCTTTGGATGTATTGGAATGAACTACTCGCGTATACATTTTATATGGAAATTCTGTATTGATTATCTTTTTTTCCTAATCTGTTTGAAAGGAAAAATTAATTGAAATGACTATAACTGAAATATATTGCTACAAATCAGTATACTTTTAACTAGTATGCAGCAATAAATTATTGGTTTATCAATTATTTTATTTTATAATATGTTTGATTTTTTTTACTTAATTTGTTATTAGACCTTTTTTTTAAATTTAAGAAAATTGTAGACTGAATATTTTTTTTATCTTTTAAATAAATCTTCAAAATTTTAAAGATTTCAGTTCCAATTTGTCTTGTAACAGAATATTCAAATAATAAAGTACCTTGACAAACTGTCACATTCTTTCATACTGTTTTATAATAAATTGTAGTACCAATAGAAACTATAATACTGATATAAATATTTCATTGTTTCCATCTCAATTAATAATATTATTATTCCTCTTCTAAAAGGAAAAAAATATTGTTTAACCTATTTTAAATTAAATTGAAAAAGATATTTAATTGATAGTTATTTTCAAGGTATATTCCTGTACTTACTCTCCTATGTAGTAATTGATTACTACATTCATAAGATTGTTTTACCAAGCAACTTTTTCTCTTAACAGAGATGAAGAATCTTCAGAATGTACAGTACATTATTTTTAAATTATTGAAAATATCCAGAGACATAACAATATTCTTGCTCACAGGAAAAAAATTTTCAGGAAGTTTCCAAGAGTGGAAGGTCAATGAAGCCAATGTGTTGCTTATAAATGGAGCTAATTTTAACATTTGTTTTCTTCAATAAAGTTTCTTTAAAATCTTATTTTGCTATCAGATTAATTTTAAAATTAATAAATCTTATATAATCCTATCATAAAAATTAACAAAAAAAAATTACTAAATCTAAATTATTACATAAATAAGATAGTGAAAACATAAATTTTATAAAAACTCCAAACTATTTATGACATAAGAAGATAAGCTTTTATTAAATCTAACTTTGATTTCAATTTAAATCATTCTATGATTTGCATCCAAGTTTACTAAAATAATTTGGCATATTTTACACAAAAGGTAATTGTATCACTGATTATATTGTGTGCTGTTTGAATCATTAGCATTTAAATAGCACTAAAGCTGCTTATCAATGACACACTTCAAATTAAAGAATTAAGTTTTATATGTTAAACTTACAGATAATTTTTCATATAAAATAAATTAGAAAAATCAATAGCTAAAATTGTTGTATTATGTATTGAAATATATGAGATATTTTAAAAAAAATTTGATATATAAAAATTAATTTGAATCGAGGTTTTTGATGTAGTTTTGAAAAATATAAATGTAAAAGGTAAGATTTATTATATTTTAAAAGTGATTGTAATACTTGTGAAACAGCTGTTATTTAAAATTAGTGTAGTTATGCAACAAAGAAAGCCTTTGTCACATGTTTTAAACCTTGTCTTGTTTCTATGCATAAACAACCATGTAAATAGTAAATTGACTTTCTGCCAACTTTTAATTAATTCTTACAGCAGTTTCCAAGTAATATATTAAATACAGATGTTTATCAAAATATAACCAAATATCAAATAATTACTGTAGAAAATTAGATAAATTAAATACATAAAATATTTTAAACAGTTTTTAAAATTAATTTTGCTTTTCTAACATTAAATATATTGTAAATAGTATATAGATAATTAACATGGCTAATAAAATAAGTTTTACAAATGAAATGATTAAATAGTGCAAAGTGTTTATCATATGCAATGATTACACATGGATAACTTTTTATTTATACAAATATTAGTTTCATAGAAAGGACCTTTCTCAAGAAAAAGAAAGCAAATAAAACATAAAAAATTAAAAAAACTTTTATTTGCTTTCTTTTTCTTGAGAAAAGTCATTTAACATGACCGAAAACATTTGAAGTAATAAACTTCGGCTGCAAGATAAGGTGTATTAGTAAGTTTTGTTTGTTATGAATCAGTGTACTTTTTTTATTTAAAAAAATAACAATTTTATTATAATTATTTTAACCATTATAATCTTATTTAATTTATTGTAAACTTTCTTAATATTTTAATAATGTAATACATCATTATCAAGCATAATAACTATTCTGTTTCAAAAATCATAAACTATTTCTCACTACTAAATGATATGCATTCAAATTTATTTTGTAATTTTTTCAAAATCTTTTTTATAATAATAGTTTGTCATATAATAAATAAATTAAAGAATGTTGTGCTCAATATTTTACTTCATACAATATCTTTTATTTTCATATTAAATAAATAGAAACTAATTAATAATCTTAATAAATTTCTTGAGACACGCTGTGGCTGTGTTTATATCTAAATATTTAGAATATAAATATATATTAATAATTACTTACATAAGTGTTTTCTTTCCCTAGACGATTCCGTCCTAATTCTAAGGTAAAACAAGCCCCAGGAGGAGGAGAAGCATGTTCTTGTCAATGTGTTCAACATGCAAAAGTAGTATTAAATATTGTCATACTTATTATTGTGGCCCTGCTAATTTGGTTTATAACTAATCTGAATACTAGAGTGGAAGATTTACAAAAACTTGTTGATGAATGTAAGTTTAATAAAAACTACATTTTATTTATATATAAAGATAGAATAAAAACACACTGAACTTTTGGATATTTATATTATGAGAGATGGGAAGTGTCAGTTTCATTTAAATCTAGTTCATTCTTGTGCCCAGTCATTAGATTCATTCCTAGAAATTCACAATGTCAATAAAGAGAGTATGTTGAAATTCTCAGTTATCTGATGGAATTCCATAAAGACAACACAAAAATGGCTTCCGAAACTGCTTTTGACAACTCATATAGATTCTGACAGTGTGTAACTTCTGAAAGAGCTTACTTTGAAGTTAGTATGATGTAAGAGTACTGCATTTGTGTTGTAAATAATAAAATGTGCCAATAAGTTCAGTATATTTTTAACTCTACTTTCTACATAAGCTTGATATGCATGCAGTTGTGACATCTGAGTATATGAACATTAAGTATTTCCTAATATTTCATAAGAAAATATTATTTTATAATTCCAAATGCATTATTGCAAATGGAGTATTTGAAATTTTCATAACAATAGACTAGATTTGTGTAATCTTCAATATGAACCTTTATTAAAACTAATATAAATAAAAGTTTATTTTTACAAAAAATAAATTATATTTTATATTGTCAAAAAAATTCATCATTTTTACTTTCCCAGTTATATATAACAGAGCATATTCAGTATATACCCAGAGGGAGAGTATTCAGTATATATATAACAGAGTGGGTATATACTGAAATATAAGATATATATGGCTAAATATAGATTACTAGCATCCCCGTCACGGCCTGCCCGCTCTTATATACATATAGAACTTGAAAATTTGAACTAATTGTTCATTAATTATTTCTGATTGATCAATGTGTAGTATTGCAGTAGAGTTTTGCAAAATATAAAAAAATAAAATCATAAAACATCTGAATAAGTTATATTGATGTGAAACCTAAAAAATTTTTCGCTACATGCATTCGATTCTGAGCCGAACGAATTCGTTGCTCTTACAGTCTTTGCTGTAGAAGTGTAGATTCACGTCGTCTACAATTATGAACTGTTTCTTCCTATTCGTGCTCTTGCAGCTCTCGGCATTATTTATCAATCAATCTCAAAAATATTCACCAATAACTATTTCGAATATTTTGTACAATTACCTGCAGAAACGATTCGAAAACATGCCATAAGTATTGTACACATACGTCCATCTAGCGTGATGACGTCACTTTTTTAATTCCTCAAAGATTTTGCTAATTAACTAATTATAATTTAATGTCAGTTCTTCAAATATAATAGTAAACTTCAATAATAGACTTTTCTTATAGACAGCAAGTATTGCCATCTAGTGAAGAGAGAGAGAGAAATAGACAGACAAAAATCCGTTGCAGTTTTATTTAATTAATAAAAAATCTGTAGGTTTGATTAATGGTAAACATTCCAGGGATCATAAAGATGCTACAGTTAAAGTTTGGTAACGATTGGTTCAGTAGTTTT